CATAGTACGCATAGTACAACATCGCTACTATACAAAAGTGGCGCTCTGCTGGTCATTCGCTTTTCCTCACGATCACAATAGAAGACACCAAAAGCCTCAATTCACGACCATTGTTTCAATGACTCAAGTGAATGCCTAAGCTAAGCGCCAGAGACCGGTGCTGGCTTCTAGGAGAGCTCTATCAACTGTAAAAGAGGTCTCAATTGACTAGCTACATAGGTTGAGCCATGGACCAGCTGCACTGTTCAATCGATCCATAGCTGCCACACAGTGCTATTAAGCTTTTGCGCAGGCGGGCTTCGGTCCATGGGCGGCGATGCATTCTTGCTGATTTGCAAAGCCAAACTCATCTGCTGCGTTCTGCAGTGCCCCGGGTGGGTTCATGTCTGGCCTGAATAAATCGCAGAAAACTTGCGTCCCACAAACTTTCTCCAGACTTTCACGAGAAGTCCTTTCTTTTCCTGCTTCCTTCCGACAGTCCCTAAGATTTTTGGGAGTAGGGAGCCAGGGAAACTTTGCTGCATTGGCCGCGTTGGTGTTGTTAGAGCCAGGTAAAGTCGGGGTTACACAATCAACCCGCTTGGAGACTGCATTTCTACCATTTGGTAGGGCAACGATTAATGCAGTGGTGAAAATAAAGCCAATAACGCACTTCATTGCTGTTGGTTTGAGGCCTAAAAGGGCTTTAGTATAAAGTGGAGAGAAGTGAACGCATGAGCACAGTAATAGTAGACAGTGGCAAGAAGATAGGACTCACCTTACAAATATTTCAATACAGAGTCAGATATAGCTAATAGAAGAGAGCGTGCATCCCTCCCGACAGTAGTCCTTCTGAGCTAGACTTTTCACGCAGAGAGGTATATATATGTGTGTTTTGATACCAGCGTACACCAAGGTAGTGTTTCGTTATGACTCGCATTTGTCACCAATTGGAATTTAGTGCGGATCATATCATGCAAAACAGTACATAATTGAGTCAATATCTGTCCACTTGTGAGTAATTTTCTCGCAAGAGATAGGTGGGACTGACCTGCTTTGGTGGCAGCGCTACGTTAGAAATTATAACCTTATTTTACTTGCATAGCTGCCATGACTCATCTTAATACGACTAACGTCATGAGCTAGTTTTGACGCGTGGTACTTACTAGTCTGGCGATGTAAGAAATATACTCGCGATATTACACAAAAAACGAGGGGTCATCATCCTGTGGGCATAAGTGACTGGCCATTGCCACGCTCAGAGGGGAGGGGTGCATGATTC